AAAAAAAAAAAAAAAAATAGGGCAATAAAAAGACAGAAGGCTAGAGAATAGAAACATAAGACAATTCTATAAACATTAGTCTGGTCTTCTAGCAGACCAGATTGAGACTAGATAAATCTTTTTTAGGGATAAATTAATCTAATGTTTTTCAAACTTCATGAGGTTGTGATGAAACCTCAGTGTGTTGACATTTAGTCATCAGAATCTCACCTGACAGCAAGTAGTAAAAATGTCAGAGTTGACAAAAATAAAAGATGTCTATTATGAAACACATTTCTGTCCATGACCTGGTATTCCTGCATTCTGAATTCCAGAGTTCTGCCAAACAGTTTATAAATTATTCTGTAAGATTTATCCTATTTCACCATAAACAACAGAAATACCTCATACTTCACAGCAATTCATACTTAGTAAATACTCTCAAACAATTTTGTTACAAGAACCAAGTTATATATACTGTACTTTTAATCTTTCTCATTTACTGAAGTATCCTTTCATTAGTATATATTACAATAGTAACACAATAAAAGGAGAGCTACTGATGAGTACATCTATAAGCCCAGGGACCACCTGAGTCAACCAACTCACTACCTTTAAGAGAGCATTTTTTTTTTTTTTTTTTTGGTCAAAGGCAACTCAGTAGAACTGCTTTTTGGATACCAGTTTTAAAATGCCAAGGACCAGATCAGTACCAAGGAAAGTAACCTACATCAAACTCTGATTCAAACCTGTTTATATTTTTTTATATTCTTCAAAAACCCTACAAACTTCTCTTACTTAGATCCATACTAAATTCTGGAATACCAAGTATCAGATGGAATTCTGTATTTGCAATTAAGACATTTGTTCAAAGAGGAAATTTACCTTATTATTTTTCCTTTTTAATAACCCTCATGCTAAACATAATAGGTATACATTTGATTATACATTGCAGAAGACAGAATTTGTGGCCACTCATTTCATATTGTACTTACTATGGTAAACTCAACACACAGCAAGCAATCAAATATGTCAATTGATCATATAAATAAAAATAACACATGCTTACTGAGTTTTGGTAGCTTATCCAGAGTAGAGGACTTAAGACCACAAGAAATGCCATGAGTCATTCCAATCATCAACCTATATCATACTTACCTTCAAAGTAAGCAGATGAAGAAATTATATTAAAATTGCAACTATAGACATGTAAATTGAGAACTGTGTTACTTTGTTTTGTTTTGGGTTTTGTTTGAGATTAGATCTGTCACCTAGGCTGGAATGCCGTGGCCCAATCTCCCATCTCTGCTCGCTGCAAACTCTGCCTCCCAAGCTCAAACACTCCTCCCACCTCAGCCTCCCAAGTAGCTGGAACCATAGGTGCATGCCACCATGTACAGCTAATTTTTTGTATGTTTTGTAGAAATGGGGTTTTGTCCTGTTGCCTAGGCTGGTCTTGAACCCCTGAGCTCAAGCAATTTACCCACCTCAGCCTCCCAAAGTGTTGGGATTACAGGCATGAGCCACTGTACCCGGCCTCAACTGTATTACTTTGAATTTCGGTGTACAGTGAAGAAGACTTTTCATTTATTTCTGTAATGCAAATAAGTAAAGACAAGGCAATATTGTAGATACCAGTGAAGCTCAAAATCTATAGGGCAAATCCATATTATATAAATATTTAGGGTATAAGAATATTCAAACAAATTTGAAGCTAAATTTGTTTTGTATTTCAAAAAACTAATCAATGATATAAATGACATGAAGGAATATATACAGGGATGCCATTGCATGCTGCCAATTAGCATAGGATCGTAGTAGAACAATTTTTCACTGAGAATATATATGATGTTATGCTACATAATTTATTCAATACACATTTATCAAGTATCTAATATGTGCCAGGTACTGCATGGGTACTGTGGATACAATGGCCTTTGTCCTCATAGAAATTACAGTTTTGTTGAGAAGAGACATTACCCTGATAATCATAATCATATATAGGTAAACTTGCAATTGTGACAAGTGCTCTAAGGAGAGGTATGTGGATAAATCATAAACTATGATAGGAAGATATGGTCCTTTCTGGGAGACTGGATAAGGCTTTGGGATCTGAAGAATGAGTAGGAGTTTACTAAACAAAATGAGAAGGGAAAATTATTTCAGGTAGGAGGAGCAACAGATACAAAATGCCTGTAGTAGAAAACCAAAAGACTAGCCCAAAGGAAAGAAAAAAGGCACGAATGACTAAAGACTAGGGAGCAAGACAGAACATGATACAAGACATAGCCAGGAGAAGGGAGGGTGGTGCTGTACTGTACTGGACCTTATAGGCCACATGTTTATCCTGAAGAAATTGAAAGGTTTTAAGGAAGGCAAGTAACATAATTAGATTTGTGCTTTAAAAAATTACCCTAGATGCAGCCGGGCGCGGTGGCTCAAGCCTGTAATCCCAGCACTTTGGGAGGCCGAGGCGGGTGGATCACGAGGTCAAGAAATCGAGACCATCCTGGTCCATATGGTGAAACCCCGTCTCTACTAAAAATACAAAAAATTAGCTGGGCATGGTGGCGCGTGCCTGTAGTCCCAGCTACTCAGGAGGCTGAGGCAGGATAATTGCTTGAACCCAGGAGGCA